ATTCATTCTAAAATACTCTGAGATCTCTGACCTCCCAATTTAAAATTGTTCATAATCTACCCCCAGCCTTCACCTTCCATTCTTGATTTTTCTCCCTGGTACTCGTGTCCCAAGTACAATGTATAGTTTGCTTATTTGACTTTGTTCATTGTCTGCCTCCCCTCACCAAAATATAGGCCCCACAAAGGCAGGGATACAGGTCATGTCTTTCGCTGTCCCTAGTGATCAGAATAGAGCCACACACTGGGTCAGTGCTCAGTAAATATCTCTTGGATGAAGAAAGGAATATGCTATCTCAGATTTTACGATCCCCAGTAGGGGCTAAGATTATCTTTACTTTGTACTTGAATTTGAGGCTGGGACAAGTCGGGGAATTTATTCAAGATTACCCAGCTAGTGAGGAACAGAGCCAGAATCCAACCCCAGTGGGTCTTCAGCAATATCTGTCCCCTTCTCCCGCCATCTGCAATTTTTCTGCACGTGAACCTCACTCGTTCTGTGTTTCTCCGTTGGGACCTACCGTTCTGTGAAACGATGTAAGATTGTTTCTGAGTACTGTATTTACAGGGAAGATGGCCTCTTTGCTTCTGGCCCACCTCACTGCAAGGTTGGGAGACCAGTATGAGCCGAGGGTGGGAGCAGACCACAGAATGGAAGGACTGTAACCGACTAGCTACCCCGAACAACCAGACGTTTCCTAAGATGTGTGTAGACACGTAGCTATAGAAGCCTTTTTAAGTCCTTTTTTCCCAGAAGCTTTTTGATGAACCCTTTAAAACCTGTTTCCTGCCTGGGTTTTGTTGTTGTTGTGTTGTTCTGTTTTGTTTTTTGGCAGGAGGTTGGGGGAAGGGTACAAACCATTGAACCATGGCTCCTGCTGAGGTTACATAAACGCCTCCACTGAATGAGTACAAACGGTTGACTCAGTTCTCTGGTTTGCTTTTGTGTGAAGTGTTTCTGGTAAGCAGTGATTTCTCAAAAAAAAAATTCTAGTCCGTTGTGTGCGTTCTGACATTAACAATCTTCTAATGTTTCAAAGAAGAGACTGGTGAGCTGTGTTAAATGAAATCTGTGAAATGTCAACTGTGGATCCACAGCAGGGGGGGACAGAGTTGGACCTAGAAAGATTTCAGACCTTCTCTCCTCTGGCTCTTGGACACTGCCGTAACTCAGAATGAATTAGAGTGACGTCGTCATCTTGTCCTGACGTGATGGGGGATGAGCTGTTCCATGGGAGGAAAATTGTAAATCACTGCAACTTAGACTCAGCATCAAACTTGTTTATTTTAGCATCAAAATATTTTAATTCCCTGGCTTTGGATTTAAAAAAAGATTGCCTGTTTTGGGCAGAATACTCAGATCATATCCATTGTGGTAGGTGTGTGAGCATGTGTTCAAAAACCAAGGTTGGAAAATCAGCGAGGACGCTAAGACAAAGAGATCGTGAGGCCCCACACCCGACCTCCAGTAACAGAACTTTCCACCTTTGGCGTAATGAGCTCCCGTTTAAGTGTGCGTGTTCTTGGTTCTTCACTCGTTTCTGGAGTGAATGGCCTCAAACCACTCAAGTTTCTTGAGTCCTTTTGGCTTTAAGAAAAAAACGTTTCCTGGGGCGCCTGGGTGGCTCAGTCAGTTAAGCGTCTGACTTAGGCTCAGGTCACGATCTTGTGGTTCATGAATTTGAGCACTGCGTCAGGCTCTGTGCTAACAGCTCAGAACCTGGACCCTGCGTCGGATCCTGTGTCTTCCTTTTTCTTTGCCCCTCCCCCGCTCACAGTCTGTCTCCCTCTCTCAGAAATAAATAAACATTTAAAAATTTTAAAAAAATAAATAAAACATTTCTGACATCTGTCTTGTTACAAGTTGTCAGTGATTGTTCCAGAAGCTCCCAGGACCTTCCCTCTAACAGAGGGACTTCCCCACTTTTGCCCTCCTCCCCTGCCCCCTCACCCCTCTGATTTTGATGTGCTTAATTCTAGCCTACCTTGGGCTGGTTAACTAGTAAGCAGGTCTATAAAAATTGAATTTAAATTAGCGAGATTGGGAGAGATTTTTCAATAACATCCCATGTACCATTTTTCAGCAGTGACAAAATTAAATCTACGTGCTGTACTTGAAAATCAACCACATTTACACACTCGTTTCTTACACTGGGCTTTTCCGTGCTGAATTCTTATTCCCTGGTTCCTAGCAATTGTTGGATAATCATAATCACATCTTGTCACTTTTCACCTTTTCTATGTATGCGTAAAAGTTAAGATTTCTGTTGGAGTCCCTTCCCTTTCCAAATCAAGGACTTCTCAAGGTGTTCATTTATCTCAGCCAGAATAGTTTACATTTAAATTTTTATTAGGACTTTATATGAAGGGACATAGTATATTTTAAAATTATGTTAATTTAATGCCATGTAATCTTACTTGTTTGAACATGGAGAAAACTTTAGTCAGAATTAGCAAACAGCCAAATGTGGAGTGAGTTGAAGGCTCAGTAGGTATATTTTACTCCCTCCGAACGTCTCTGCGATCAGCATTGCTAACACCTTGATGTAATAGCCCCCACATCTGTCTTCCTTTGCTCACCATCAGTACTTTATGTAATATGTGGTAGCCAAGAGGGCATGGCCAAAGTTTGGAACTTGTGTGAATGAATAGGTAAGAATGATGTATAATTACCGTATAATTATATATTCCCTAGATAGATACATGGATGTATCATTTGTAGGTAGATATATAATCTATGTATAGCTATAGAGTTGGTTTGTAGGAATGTAAATTCTGGATGACTCCTTAATGGATTCTGTCCTTTTAGTTGGTTGAATTCTCCCCTCTTTATAGCAAGTAATCACAGTTCACCCTATAGCCACATCATCCCTAATTACAGAAAGATGAGATTTTATATTGCTGACAATCTTTGCCTCCTTCCCCCTCCCCCTCTGCCTTTTCTCTCTTTGTTAATCAAACCCTTGTGTATGAGCCTGACTCACTTGCTGGGGGACAGGGGAAACGGAATCCCTTTCTTCCATCAAGCCGCCAATATCAGGCTCAGACTTCTCCGTACTGTGACTTGTGCCATCCACACATCTCTGCCCCATTGGACCTCGACAGAAAGGAAAAGCGGCTGAAGCACCAGAGAAAAGACCAGAAAACCATCAAGAGTGTGCCGCGTCTTTTATTCCCAGATGAAGAAATAGAATTAGGAAGCAAGGCAGAGGAGCTCGCTGCCTTGCTCAGAACTGGAACTGAGATGCCCGTGACACAGGTTGTCTTGCAATCCAAATCCTCCCCCCTCTCCCTGAGGGCCTCCTGCCCACGGGGCTCAGGGGGTTGGGTGGTGGTGTGGACTCCGTTTAGCCCTGAAGCCTGCGATCCCACAATTCCTCAGCCCCCTCCCACGACCTCAGACAGCCTTGCCAGACACATTAGAGACATACTCCCCAGGAAAATCGCCTCCATATGAGGAATCCCGGCCTGCGAGTTCTCACTAGATGTTCTCAGGGCAATGCCAGGGCTCATTTGCTGGCCAGGGCTCAATGGCTTTCAGAGCCATTCAGTTCAGCACGTCTTTTCAGGCTAATTCCAATTAGGATGAGACACTTCGAAGATACGTATTTCCCCGACCCCAGGGCGCTCGGTTACCGGTCTCCTTCAGCAAAGTGAAAATAAGCATCTGACCCAGCCAGCGTGTTTTGGCCTCGTCCAGAGACTTCTCTTCTCCAGAGGTTGGCGAGTGCCAACCCCCCTCCCTGGTTCCCGCACCCCCTTCCCTCACAGCCTCCTCAGGGGAATTTTGGCCCACGCTTTATTACTGCCGCAGCACGAACGCCCAGGCTGAGCCCTGTTAACTGCCCCGATTCACAGCATTGCAGGTCACTTTATAAATCTGACCGGTTCCGTGTCCCTTTCTACCATCCATGGCCCTACACAAGAGCCCAGCAAAGTGAAGGGATTCATCCTTGGGCGGGCAACCTCTACAGGTTGGCGTAAAACAAAGCCTGTCTTTTCACCCGGTGTCAGAAACAACCCACTGGAAGTTTTCAGCTTACTGGACCTTTTGGGGGGGACTGACCAATCCACTGCTGACACAGTTTGCTCCCCGGTTACTTTGCGGCTTCATTTCACCACACCGACGGGTTCCCCGGGCCGCCCCACTCGTGACGGCAGTCCATGGACACCGGTAAACCTTAACCCTGCACTCTCGGGCACACCTTCCCTTTAGCGCTGGCAGGTCCGAACTGTCATTTGGAACCCAGGGAGTGAGACCCTGCCACTTGCCCCCTTACACTTAGAAGACTGGCAGAAAGCTGTCAGGCTTGGATCTCAGGTTAGTTGACCGTGTCCCCTTGTTTGAACATCTGCATGTCCCTGCTCAGAAAGCTGCCGACAGTTCTATTACGATTAGCACGCGTGACTGTGAAAGATGTCCCACATCGTGTTCCCGTTGTGCCCTGGGCAGTGTTCTCTACCACGCGCGGAACCCACGCAGGTAGCCTGGGTTCTGGGTCCCCCACTCGACCTTTGAGGCTCAAATCCACGCATTCTTGGCAGAAGAAAATGTATTGTTGAAAGAGAACAGGGTTAGAGAGGCTTACCTCTCGCGACAAAATGTTTATGAGCTAAGTGTAAATGAATCAGAAACATAAGGATCAAATTTCCCCTGAAATGCAAACGAATTTAAAAATTAGCAGGAAAAAAGGGGGCCTGGCAAAAGACGTGCTTTGCATTTCACCAAAGCCAGAGTATTTGAAATGCCTTTGGAGAGGCTTCACAGACCCAAACTGTGACTGCATTTTCCCTTTGTTGATCTCTTTCATCCCCTCAGTATCTCCATTGAGAAGTCAGTGGTTGAAAAGGGGAGAGGAAAGTCTTCACCAATTTCTTTTGAGGGCTTTTTGTCACGCTCTCATCCAGCCACTGTGGACATTAGAATTCAGCTTTGAAGAGTTTGCCTCTGCTCCTGCTTTTTAATGTCCCTCACGCTTCCTCTTACGATCCTTTTCCCAGGTTTGTACCTTCTGCCCCGTCCCCTCACATCAGCCCCCGGAGGGTTCCAGCTGCTTCTTCGGTCATGCAGAGGACGCAGCCCCCCCACCCCCAGCAGCCAGCGGGCGCGTCGCACCTGAAGTCTTACCAGCCAGAAACAAATGCTTCCTTTCAACCAAATGGGATCCATGTTCATGGTAAGTGGGGAGCCAGCCACCGCCTTGAGTCTTGAATGGCGATGTTGTGCTGTCGCTTTTAGACAGATGTCTTAGTTACCAGGGGTGAGTTTCTGTGGTTCTGTCACACACCAGGCTTTGGCTTTAACGGCTTTCCTCTCAGATGTCACCCTTTGGGGCACCTGAGCGGCTCAGTCAGTTGAGCGTCCAACTCTTGATTTTGGCTCAGGTCACGATCTCCTGGTTTGTGGGATCAAGCCCTGTGTCAGGCTCTGTGCTGACATGGTGGAGCCTGCTTGGGATTCTCTCTCCCTCCCTCTCGCTCTCTGCCCCTCCCCCACTCAAAATAAATGCATAAAAACTTCAAAAACTTTTTGTAAAATAAAATAGAATGTCACCCTTCATCATCCTGAACTCTCATAGTATTTTCCTGGTGTTGGCGCTAAGCTGATATAACTTATGACACCCCAAAGTGGTCAGCCCAAGATGGTGATCTGTTCATTGGCCGGGAATTCAACACCTCACAGATAGGCCCTAACGACAGCATCTCGCTTCCTAAACAAAAAACAGTCACATAAAAGGGAACAGGAATGCTTTTGCCCAGGCGTGCCCCTCCTCCCACAGGCCCCATATCCCCAGAGCCTCTCCATCCTTCAAGGCCCAGGTGAAATGACACTTCCTCTCAGCAGCCCTCCCTGGTTTCCTAGCTGGATTTCATCTCTCCTGACTCTGGACTCTGATTGCACGTCACCTGCATCTCTCTGATGGCACTCTGGCTCTCTCTCTCTACCTCGTGCATTACTACTTTGTGAGGAAAACCTGCCTTTACTTCCTCCCGAGGTCAGAATTTTCTGACTCATTCTTTCTCGGAAAGAACTTCGCACAGTACTCTGCACGTTGTGAAGATGCGTAGATACTTGAGAAGTGCAGAGAGAAAGAAGAGGAGAGAAGGAAAGCAAGAAAAATCATGATGGTGTTCACAAAATGTACAGATCTGCTGTGTAACTTGGAACATACGTGGAGAACTAAGTTTGGCTTAATTTCTTTCTTTACACCAGTTTTGCTGACTCAGGCACCTGTTTCTGTGAACATCCCTAGAGTTCAGATGCCAAGTCATGTAGAGTCAGACCATGCACAACCTTTTGCTTCCTGGGGGCAAAGGGGATACTATTCATTTAAATAAGAGTTTCAACTCCTTCTGAAAACTAAGATTCTCCTCCATCTGTCTCTAGCTGATTCCTCAATTTGTTCACACAAGTTCATGACCTGAGCTGAAGTCGGACGCTTAACCGACTGAGCCACCCAGGTGCCCCTCCCTCCCTTGCCTTTATGGGACTCGTTGAGAAGAGGGATAATGTTTCTAGTCTTAGAGCAAGCATAACTCTTGGTGCAAAGTAGGCATTTAGTAAATATTTACTGAATAGATGATTGACACTCTCGCATTCAACAAATGCAAAATGAAACAAGACCCAGAAAATGAGATCTACCTTGTGATTTTGCCCTACCTCTTGGCCAAAGGCTCTTTTTCCATATTCCTCTTCTTTAGTGGAATCATGAATACATCATCAACTTGAAATTGTTGAGTTGTTTTGTTTTTTTAACTTTGACTTTAATTGTTAAAAATTCCCATGGCCAATCAGAAACTGCTAACAGAAGCCTAAAAATAAATACATATGGTGAGTCTTTCTGGAATAGATCAGGCTACGGTTGTGCAAACTGGGAAATCATAACTCTCTCGTAGAAGATGGGCAAGTGGCCCGCTGTGATGGGCTTGCAAAGGGAGTGTCCATGCTTTAGCCACTGGGCCACTGCTGGGAATGACGGAGTAGGCATCCAGACACAGCCTTACTTCATCCTCCAAGCATTTTGTCTGAAAATGTTTTTCTGGAACTTGCTAGGCACGAGCATTGCTCGTCAACTGCTCCTTAGGATGAGGAGAAAATTGATCTAATATTTTTCAAGTGGGTGATACAGTGCTGGGGGCAAGAGGAGGTGCAGAGACCTTCTAAATGAGTTGTAATTATTGGCCGTGCCTTTCAGCTTCGGTTGGATTAGTCTGCTGGGTGACGTCATACAGCATCTTGGTCACGGGGAACTTCATCCCCTAATAAAACTAGGTCTTTAAAAGCCCAAGCACTGTGTCACAGTTGCTAACACAACAGCCACAATGAGTGAGTGTCCTGTCTTTCAAGAAGGTCATGGCTTTATTGAGTGCCGTCCCCCCCATCCTTTCCGTACTCCCTGCGGTAGGTAGAGGTCAGAGAAAATGTCGTCAGTATATTTTTAGAGATGGGAACTGAGACCTAGAAGAATATCAAATGTCTAGGCATTGCTGCCTTCTTGGCAAAGCCCTTGGATGTCTTTTACAAGAGGTGTACATTTCCAAGCCACGTTCTTCATCTACGTGTTTCTAAATCAAAGGCACACCAAAATATGTGTCTGCATCTTTCCATGAGGAAATATATTTGTATGTAGATGCTATTGCCTTACAGAGAGCCTTAGAATTCAAAGGCCTTTGGTCCTACAGATGTGGATGAAAATGAGGTCCCACTGAGTTTCACTCCCGCCATATTAATTGATATAGCGCTTCGGCCTTGTGGTGTGTGTGTGTGTGTGTGTGTGTGTGTGTGTGTGTCTTTGTTTACTTACTATCAAAGTATGCTTGACATACAATGTTATATTAGTTTCAGGTGTACAATGTAGTGATTGGACAATTCTGTATGTTACACTGCACTCACCGTGATAAGTGTACTTACCATCTGTCACCATACAACATTATTACGACATTAATGAGTGTTTTGTAAAAGGCGTACTTTGAAAAGATGAATAGTATTGCTTTTTCGAGTTCCCTCGCCTGGTGAATGACCTAGGACTAGAGCTCAGTTTTGTCAATTCTTCATCTATTCTGTCCATTGATAATGCCTTCATGAGGAAGGTGGATAAGGTGTCATTTCTTTTCATGTTTGAGTGTTGATAGCATTTACGGGCGTCTGTTTGGGTGGTATCTCCAAGGCAACTTGTAAGTACATTTTAGTCTTTATTTTAGATGTAAACAGAGGAACAACCCTTTCCAATCATGTAAGCTTGTTCCTCAGTCTTTTCTTTCTCTTTGGGACCATTCTCTTGCCCGGGCAAGCTTCAGAATTTTGCCTGGATTAGTTGCCTGAGAGTTGATATTTGTACGTTTTGTTATGGTGCTAATGGATAATTTATTTTTAAATGCCCTATTCATTCCGGGCTGTTAGAATGCCATGGGAATTCCTAGAACAGGGTTTTCACAACCCTCCTGCTTCTGGACCCATCAAGGAGAGGCCACATTCAATTCCGCAAATGACATGAATGTCATTTAATCGATGCAGTGATACAGGCAATACCACCACTACTAATATCAAGAAGTACCCAGTTAACTCAGAGGAGGGTGTCAGAGAAGCGTTCCTAGAGGGGACTCCAGAGTAGGCTTTTGAAGATGAGTAGCTCATTGGGTAGGCTGTGTGGGCAGAGGCCTTCCGGGCAGGGGAAAGTGAAGTGCACAGGCAGGAACGCAGACCACAGCATGGCATGTCAGAGAGTAGAGCCAAAGGCAGTTTGTCTGCGGCTGGGAGGCACAGGTTAAGCCTTGGAGTCGAGAGAGGGAGAGGAGGCTGGCAACCAGCAAGAGGAGCTCAGGGAGGGATTGGGGCCGTGCTAAGTGTAATACCACTGAGTGGAGAAGCCATCCCGCCATTTTAGGAAAGTAAGCCAGGGCATTGTGTGGGGACCGGAACTGGAGAGGTAGAAATGTTACATGCGAACTGCTGGGATTATATCAGACCATCCCCATAGAGCAGCCAAATAACAGTGACCTGAATAAACAGTCTGGTTCACTCAGGTGCAGCTGGTAAAGTAGAGGAATGATGTCAGAATAGCGCGGAATTTTGTCTGTCCGCCCGCAGTCTTTTCTAGGCAAGACGAGCTGGAGTGGCAAAAGAAGAGGATGAAAAAGCCTTCAGCCCAGCTGCCGCAGAGGCGGGAGCCCCTTTAGCCCAATCTTAATACAACTGGAAATGAGCACGACCTTAAGGGCTCCTTCCCCAGGGAGGAGCGCACCTGGCCTCACGCGGCCCCTGGCTACTGGCCCAGCCGGTTCTAGCACCTGTCGTCTCAGTTCCTGCCAGCCCACGTTTCCAGTTGCCACTGTTGTGCATTTTGGAACCACCAAGAAGCCTCCTGCCACCCGGAACTGGCTGCTCCAGTTCCCTCTTGATTATGTTGTTAGTGCTGTAGTTGGAAGCTTTTGTCGAGTTTGAGTGGCCTGTCCCAATCCCAAGTTTTCCCAGAGAGCCTGTTCTTTGTAACCCACGGGGCACAGAGCACGAGACTTTTCTGAGTTTGCTTCTTGTGTTAGAGCAGCACCCCCAGTGTATGGGTTTGCATGATGCCCGGTTGTAGACACTGCTTGGTGCGGGGGTGGCCCACGGAGCCCACGATGTGCCCGCCCCTGCCAGCTTCTGGCTTTGGCATCTGTGGCTTCCATCCGCCTGGTGACAGCATCGGTGTGACGTTCTCTGTGTCTTGTCCCAGTGTCAGGCAGAGGGCAAGAGAGCAGTGAAGGACAAGCACCCCCCCCCGCCCCCGCACTTTGTCACGTGGCTACCCTCACATGCAAGGATCTCTGGGAGGAAGGCTATTTCGGTGCATTGCCAGGCTTAACAAAATTGCGGTTCTGTTAATGATCTTTATCAGGTAGCCACGCTGCAGGGCCTGCCAAACATTCCCTGGGCCGGTTTTCCGATCTGTGAAATGGAACTGTCTCACAGATTCCTTCACACAGATCGCCTCTGAGAAATCCAGAGTAGAGGCTTTCTGGGGATTCTGCCTCCCAGTCGCTTCGGTCTCTGTGTTTTCCACGGCTTGCTCTTGTTGTCACCTCTGGAATTGCCAGTTGCCAACGCACAGATTTCCATCACACATGACCCAGTCATTAGATTTCATTGGGAAAACAACACAGAGCTGCCTCCCAGCCCTAGCAGGCTGATAGCAGG